GTTCCCTGTGCTCTGAGGGGAGGGATTTGATGGAGACATCACACTTAGAGCTGAGTGTTCCAAGGTCTCTTTTTCTGCATAGTGACTGGTTGTGGGTCTCTGTATTGTTCCCATATGCTGCAGGAGGAAGCTTCTCTGATAATGACTGAGCAAGGCACTGATCTATGAGTATAATAGAGTATCATTAGGAGTCAATTTATTGCTACATTTTTTCCTCTCCTAAATATCTATTTTTAATGATACCTTTATTATCAGAGGGAGTTACAAGGCAAATTGTGAAGGTAGTACTACACTTATTTCTTCGATGAAATTGTCTTTTGTGTAAATAGGGCCCTAAATTGTGTATTGAATGATTACTTGTCACTGGTTAAAATTTCCTTTTAAAGTTCTAAAAATTCAGGAAGGGGGCTGGAGAGATGGCTCAGTGGTTAAGAGCACTAGTGGTTCTTCCAGGGGACCTGAGTTCTGGCTTCTGTGTGCACCCACACATATGTGGCATGAACACACACACACACACACACATACACACACACACACACACACACACACACACACACCAAGTTAAAAAGAATTCCTAGTTAAGACATCTTTAGGGAAGTATAATTTACATACCATAAAATCCCCTTCTGTAAAGTACAGACCAATGATGTTGTATAAATGTTGTTGGTTATTTTTTCTTTTTTGGGGGACATGCCACCCAGCTCCCAAATAAATCCCTCACAGAGGTTTATTCTTAATTATGAATGTCGGCCTTAGCTTGGCTTGTTTCTAGCCAGCTTTTCTTGAAATCTACCTTTTGCCTCTGGGCTTTTTCCTTTTCTTTTCCTGTATACCTTTCTTTCCTTCTTACTCTGTGGCTTGCTGTGTAGCTGGGTGGCTGGCCCCTGATGTCCTCCACCTTCTCTCGCTCCTTCTTCTCCCCTCTCCCAGATTTCTCCTATATATTCTCTCTGCCTGCCAGCTCCACCATTCTCCTGCCTTGCTATTGGCTGTTCAGCTCTTTATTAGACCATCAGGTGTTTTACACAGGCACAGTAACACAGCTTCACAGAGTTTAACAAACGCAACAAAAACAAAAGTAACACATCTTAAAATAATGTTCTACAACAAGTAAACTTATCCAGCATACAACCATGGTTTAGGTGGCTTTTTGGGGTGGTGGTGTCAGGGTTCCACAATGTAAACCCAGCTGCTCTAGTATTCGCACGCGTGAGTGTGAGTGTGTGTGTGTGTGTGTGTGTGTGTGTGTGTGTGTGTGTGTGTGTGTGTTTCGAACTGTTCTGAAACTTGCTTTGTAGACCAGATAGGAGGCCTGGAACTCACAGAGATTAATCTGCCTTTGCCTCCTGAGTGCTGGGATTAAAGGAGTGCACCACCATGCCCAGTCACTTTTGTATTCTTAATTGTCCTGCCCTTGGCTTCACAATGGCATTTTATAACTTTTTTAAATGTTAGGTTTATTTTATGTGATGAGTGTTTTGCCTGCTGTACCATGTGCATGCTTCATGCCTATGGAGGTCAGTAGAGGGTGCTGGATCTCTAGGAACTGGAGTTATGGGTCATTGTGAGTTACTAGGTGGGAGCCAGGAACTGAACCTGGGTCCTCTGCAAGAACAAATGCTCTTTATTGTGGAGCCATCTCTCCAGCTCCAAATTTTAGAGCTTTTTATTAGCCCTGTCTCAAGTTACTTCATATTTATAGACTTACATCTTTTGCCCATGCCTATTACTTTAATTTTAGAACATTTTCAGAAGAGATCCACTTATTTTTCCATAATATATGGAAAAAACTATGAGGATATTTATAATTGTTAAAGACGTCTGAGTGTTTCCTTTGCTAAGTGCTTTTTACTTTTTGGTTTTTTTTTGTTGTTTTTTTTTCTTTCCGTTTTTTCGAGACAGGGTTTCTCTGTGTAGCTTTGCGCCTTTCCTGGGACTCGCGTGGTAGCCCAGGCTGGCCTCGAACTCACAGAGATCCACCTGGCTCTGCCTCCCGAGTGCTGGGATTAAAGGCGTGCGCCACCACCGCCCGGCAGTGTTTTTTACTTTTTAAACATAGAACAACAGACACTTTTTTTTTTACATGAGTCACAGATGAGACTTATTTGCCTTTTTGGTCTTTGACCCTCCACCTTGCCCTCTAGCACATAGCCATCTGCTCTACGACACTGGCTCTTTTTCATTTAATTTTTCTTTTCTTTTAAAGAAAACACATTATTGAAGTATGATTGACACATACAAATATGCTCATAGATAATGAAGAGTTTGAAGACAGGTATATGATCATGAAGCTATAATCATAGTCTATGCCAGGAACGGATCTATCATCATAGTATTAGCTGTGTGTGTGTGTGTGTGTGTGTGTGTGTGTGTGTGTGTGTACCAATGTCACATGTCTTCTTCTATTATCCCTACTTTAGTGTTTTGGGATAGACTATCTCACTGAACCTGGAGTTTGAGCTTTAGGCTGGCTGGTTGGAGAGCCCAGGAATCGGCCTGCCTTCACCCCCAACACTGGGGTTATAAATGTGCTCTGCCTGGCTTTTACACAGGTCCTTGGGATTGAACTCAGGTCTTCAAGCATGTACACCAGTACGTTACCCACTGGACCATCTCCCTAGCCCAGCTCTGGCTTTTAACAGGAATGAATTTGAATGAGGAGAATTCAAAAGATAAGAATTATAAATAGCTTCCTAGATTATAATTTATGTATTTTATTTTATATATTTTAAACCTGGAAGTCATTGTAAGCCTCCTGCCTCAGCCCTGATCAGGTGTGCTGAGATTACAGGCTTATTTCATATATATATGTATATAATCTTTTGGGCAGGCAGTAAAGCCACTCCGATTTTGAAATGGACACCACCAAAAAAGAAACAGACGTACCCTTTTACCTAAATCCAATTCTGTGGTTTACACAGAGGAACTCATCAAATATGAAGGAATGTGAGAAAGGATTCGAATATAAAGGTACTTATCAGTGTTTTATTTTAAACAAGAAAACTGTAACTAATCCAAATATCTCAGTATGGCAGAGAACAATTACAGATTATACTAGAACCTTACAAGTGCTAGATGTAAATCTTTATAAGAGGTATAATCTAATTTATGCAAAAAATTAAGTTAGTACATGTAAAAAACATTTGTTTGGAAATATGAGAAAACCGTATCAGTGGTTATATTTGGCTGGTGAAATTATAGTACTTTTTATTTTATTCTTTACACCTTTCTTCATTTCTCCATAAATGACAATAATTAAAATTGACTAGGTCATTTTCATGGTGTAAGTATCTGTAAATACATGAAAGTGTACCTTTTTAAATGTATGCAGTTCATTGTAAGTCAACTATACATAAAAAAAACTTAAAACAATTAGAAGGATCTTGAAAAAACAATCTCAAAACCTTTTTTGGAAAAAAGATTTTGCTACATTTTGGGGTTGGCGCAAAAACGTGTTTAAGAATAAATGCGTTTAACTGCGAAGCCATCCCTCCAGTCCCAAATTTTAGAGCCTTTTATTATCCCCTCCCCAAGTTACTTCACACTCACAGGCTTCATCTTTTGGCCATGCCTATTATTTTAATTTTAAAACGTTTTCCTGAGGTCCACTCACTCATTCCCTGTTCTGTTCACCAGGTCTGTTTTCTATTCCTACCCTGGAATGTTGTTGCCCTGCCCTTGGACACCTTGATGGGTGACCCCGCCTCTGCCCTGAAATGGCTTTTGTCAGGTGGAGGAGGGGAAGGTAAATCATTTGACAAACTTCAGGTAACACCCACAAAGCCCCAGCAGATCTGGAATCTCGGGACTTATTAGCTCAGGTAAGAGTCACCAAGGGCGGCACTAGTTTTCTGGCTGTGGAGGTGGCCCAGAGGTTACCATTATGGGAGTGTCACCACCCCAGAAGCGAGCTTAAACAATTTCCTTTTTACTTTTTGAAACAGAAGTTTCTTTATGTAGCCCAGCCTGGTCTCGAACTTGCGATCAGCCTCCCCGGGCTCCACCACACCTACCTTTGAAACAGTTTTTACAACCTATGTCTGCACTACCTCCATACTTAGAAGAGTTCAAGACTGAGCATTTGCTGGTGCATGCAAAGGGTTCCTATTTATTGTCTCTTTTGATCTAATCCACAACCGTCCGCAACCAACAGTAAGGACTATCGGGATTAGTAACAGTAAGCAATCCGGAGTCTGATGCTCTATTCAAAGTCACTGAACTGCCGCTGAAAGCCCAGTTTCCCGGATCTCCCCTCTCACTGTATTCTGGTACCGGTTCTGGTACCAGCCCACTTCCAGGCACCAATAAGCATAGCCAGCTTTCCCGCTTTCCCTCTTCCCCCTGTGCAGAATGAGGCAACATCCGCCAGCGCAGTCAACAGGGTCGTGCCGGTGGAGACCTCTCTAGCCTCGCCGGAGAGCCACCGGGTTCCGGCTCCGGGAGGTCAACTCGAAGCACTCCGGGCGGATGGAAGCGCTCAAGCATCCACCAACACCTCCCGCCGCAGGCGCCAGCGAGCCGCCCGGCAGCGAGCCCAGCGCATCTAACGCGCGTGCGCGGGGCCAGAGGGTACGCCCTCGCGAGCGCGCGGTGAGCGGGGCGCGTGCCCGGGACGCGCGGGCGCGCGGCGAGTCGGCGTCGGCGTCCGCGCGCGCGGCGGGCCGAGGCTTGTGTGGGCTGGAGCAGCGAGCGAAGCGGCGGCGCCCCAGAGCCGAGGGGACGCGCGGGCCTGGCGCAGCGGGAGCGGACGGCTTCGGAGCGGACGCGGGGCCCCGGCGGGACAGCTCGGCCTCGCCGCTGGGCGCCTCGCGGGCGCCGGTCGCTTCCCGGGCCCGGAGTGGCCGCCGCCCCGGGAGACGCGCGGTGACACGGGCCTAAGGCGCCGCGGGCCGCGGGCGTCCGCGCCGTTCGGCCCGGTGCGGCCCGGTGCGGGGCGGGGACGAGCGCCGGGGCAGGTGCAGCCCCCCGGGCCCGCGAGCGAGGTGTCCACGGCGCCGCTCGGCCCGTCCCGGCTCGCGGCGGCCGCGCGCCCCCCTCCGCGGCCGGAGCTCGGTCGCTGCCCCGCCTTCTCCGGGGAGCGCCAGGCGGGAGCGGCCCGGACCCCGGGCTCGCGCGGGAGACGACGCGCCACAAACTTTGCCTTTTATTGTTCCTAGCCCTTTAAGTGCTAGGGACTCTGCTGGGCAGGAAAAATGTCCTTCTTCAATTTCCGTAAGATCTTCAAGTTGGGGAGCGAGAAGAAGAAGAAGCAGTACGAGCACGTGAAGAGAGACCTGAACCCCGAAGAGTTTTGGGAGATTATAGGAGAACTGGGCGACGGAGCCTTTGGGAAAGTGTATAAGGTAAGAGGGAGAAAACGGGAAGTTGGCTTAGGAGATGAAACGGTCGCCTGGCCAGGGTGGCGCGAGGACCTCCCCCCCACACCCCTTCCCGTGGCTTGCCCCCTCCTTGGGCTTTATGCATTGAAACTTCAGCTCAGCGTCGGAGCACTGGCTCCGACGACGGCAGGGTCTACTGAAGACACTGGGGCCGGATGCACTTTCGAGAGTGATGGTGTGCAGTCCACCCTGTCAAACTTGGGAAGAAATGAGTGTAATTTAATGGGAGGGGCGGGCGGTTGTGGCCCCATAGTATTTTAAAGTGGGAAACTCTGTAGGCTTTTCAGTGTGCTGATGTTTGTTTACCAATGGCGTTTGCGTGTACGCTTGCACCCAAACGGGTAACTTTTGGGAGATAGGGGCATGTAGCTGGCTGTATCTATAGTTCAAATAAAACAAAAACAGAGTGATTGCCAGTTTGCAGTCTGTCCTTGAGTTGGTTGCTTGGCCACATGGAATGGAATTTCTGACAGAAAAACTTCCAGAAGAAAATCTGCATTTCATCCTAGTTTCTAAATATAATAAGCATTGGCTCTACCAGTGCTTGAGGAATTAAAAAACTACACCCGTATTTATTTATTTCAATAGAGGTTTGATGTTTCAACACCAAGGTGTGAATGTTAACTGTTTACACTGTCCTAGGAAGTATATGAATGATGTCATTGGAATATTTACTTCCTGAAGGGTGAGGTTCTTATGAGCCGCAGTTTAGGGGAAGGATCCACAGGGTTGCCTAGAAGTGAAAACATAAATACAAGACTTTTCAGTTTCACGTAATTTGGTCCCTGTAAAAATTCTGGGAAGTGGTCAGGTCAGTAAGTAGTAGCGTCCACATTTCCATGGATGAATACACTGAAGCTCAGAAATAGTTCACGACCACATGATTCAGTTTAACCTTGGACTCAGGTCTTCTGTTCCCATATGTAGTAGTGTGTTTTTACTTAAACTTCATTTGATAGAAGCGTTTCCCCTGCTTTCTAAGCATAGTACACTTTATCTTGTAATGTGTACCTTGAATGCATTCTGTCAAAATCCCAGCCCTCATTTTTTATCCAGTCTGAAAGACACACTTTCTTTGCTCTGAGTGTTTTCAGAACACCTTGTTCACATGGCTACTGTATCACTTGTCATATATTCTAATTGACATTTATATATAATAAGGTTAAGGTCCAAAGTTTCACATTTGAATCTGTTTCTCAGCACTTGCATTTCCTCATGTATTTGTTGAAATGAAATAGTCTATGTTATCTTCCGATGAATGCTGTTGAGAGTTGTCATATAATATGGTTTCAGCAAAAGCTTACTCTATAAGGTGTATGGTAGGAAGGGCACGTCGTGTGGTTGGAAAATCATTCTGGGGAGACTTGTTTAGTGCTGACTGTCAGAGCCAGCTCGGTGGTCATGGACAGAATAATCACCACATCCGACTTCTGTTTTCTTAGTTGTAAAGCCTTAGGTTCCCTTGGATGTTTCTTGGCTCTTGCCACCTGCTAATGTCCTCTGAGTATGCAGTTTCTGAGGAGAGGCAAAGATAAACCCACAAAACATCTGAAGCTTGTAGTAAGAAGTGGGTAGGTGATCACGGGCAGTTTTCATGGTATGAAGACATTTCATCAAAGAGAAAACAGCATAGGATTAAGAGCATGGGCTCCTCCTATACCAGAATATTTCTTGCTCTCCCACATAGCAGTCTGTGACCTTGGCAAGTTACCTATATATTCAGTGATTGACTGCCCTCATTGGAAGGCCTACTTTTCAGTACTTGTAGTATAAATATATAGAAAGTATAAGGCACCCAGAAGGGGTTCAGTAAACGATGGAAATTACTGCCATTATCTGTAGAGGTCACAGAAGCACAGTGTGGTATGGGAGAGGAAAAGGGACCCAGAAGATAACAAGCTATTTCTATGGCATAGGCAGATTGTGCCGTTTTTCTCTGCAGAGGGTCATGTAATAATAATCCTATTGCAACGTTAGTTGAAATTTCCCGCAAAATTTGAGACTTCATGTAGCTCAACATTACAAACTGCTTAAGCATAATTCCTGTGGGCTTAAAGATTATGTTTTACAATAATACTGAAAAACACAAGTTCTTTGCATTTGCTTTTGAGGAATTGGGCATGAGTTTTGTTTTTGTTTTTTTAAACAAAAATTTAAATTTAAGCTTATCTGACTTTCTGGTCTTATTTTTCATTTTCTAAAAGTTGTTTATTTTTCAAGATTTTCTGGAAGTTGTAAATTTATTTGAGGGAAACTAAAGTCCTTTTTGTGGGGTGAATGCTATCATCATACCTTACTTAATATTTGTGGTAGTGTGCAGTAGACAACTATTTTAAAACTTGACTCCAGCTACCATGTGCTTATGGAAATTGAGGACTATTAAGATGTTAAGTTGTAACTAGGAAATCATGTTATGTACTTAGTTTATTGAAATGGGCTTCGCATCAAATAGCAGCAGTCCTTCCACACAGTCCACATCTGTACAGTTCTCACATAGTCACCTGGGTGCTTGTAAAATCATCACTGTGTAAGTTATTTTTCCTTTTAATGTAGTATGGTTGGATGTGAGTGAAGATATCCTAAGCATTATCTTACCAGAAACAGAAAAATAGTGACATAAAAATACACATTGAGTGGCATGTCTGGAAAACTGTTTTACCTGTTAAAGCAGTTGAAGCTGAGTCCTGGCTGTGTCTGTGTGGCAGCTGACAGGGCTATGTCTTTTATTTATTTATTTAATTTTTTAAATTTTATAATTTAATTTAATTTTACATATCAGCCATGAATTCCCCTGTCCTTCCCCCTCCCGTCCCCCAGGGCTATGTCTTTTAGAAAGCAGTGAAATATGTAATTCTTGTATTGAAGAAACACTGAAACATGTATGTGTATTTAGCAGATAATAAAGTAAGTTTACATTGACAGCAGCAGGTTCAAGACATTCTGTTGCACCTCAGACTCTCCTTAAATTACTCCTTTATTTGCTGTGTAGTGTAGCTTTTAGTTGTGCACCTCTAAACAGTTTAGTTTCATGTGTTTGAACATTATAAAAATAGAATCCTATCAAGTGTACTCTTATCTTCCTTTTCAGAATAGTATTGTTAGTTATGTGCTCTTTGTTATCACCTATTGCTGTAGTTAGTTGATTTTCATCGCTGTATAGCATATTGTTATAGAATTGTAGTGAGTCTTTCTCTGTCCCGCCAGCCAGCTCCCAAATAATGACATGGAGACTTATTATTAATTATGAAAACTTGCTCATTAGCTTAGGCTTGTTCCACTAGCTCCTAAATTAACCCATATTTTTATTAATCTACGTTCTACCACTTGGCTTTTACCTCTCTCCCATTCTGTGTGTCCTCCACGGTTTGCCTCTCAATGGTGTCTCCTCTTCCTCTTTCTGCCAGGAAGTCCCACCTATCTCTCCTGCCTAGCTGTTGGTCATTCAGCTTTTTATTACACCAATCACAGCAACATATATTCACACAGTGTACAAATATTCCACAACAGGTTGTATCTCAGTCATTTGCCATTTTATTGTTAGTGAGCATATGGGTTGTTCCTAGTTTTCGACTCTGACATAAAATGCTGGGATAGTTCACCAAGACTTAACTCAGGAGTAGCATGGCTGTGTTTCTAGAGCATTATGACTTTAATTTTACTGAATGATGGCAAACTAATTAAGCTATTTTATATTCCTACTGGAGTATATAAAGATGTCTTTGCTCTTCATTCTTGTTCCCATTTAGTATTGTTAGAATTTTTGACTACCTGATTATTAATAAATGCTTTTTTATATGTTTATTGTAGTTTATTTGTGTTCCATTCTCTTGTTCATTTTCTTATTAATGTCATTTTCTGTCTCTATATAGTATATGTATTTGTAGTATAATTATGTATATTATAAACATGTGTACATATCTTTATTTTTTTTTAATTTTAGCCATTTCCTGGTTATGGTATCGTAAATATTTTCTCATTTTATGACTTATCTTTTTATTTTCATTAGAATGTCTTGACTGAGAGACTTCATGTCAGTATAGTACAATTTTCCAGTTTTTTTCTTTTCTTTTAATGTTGTTCATTTTTAAGGCATTCGTTCTTAAACCAGTATCATGAAGATTCTACTTTATCTTCCAAAAGCTTTAGAATTTTTCCTTTAGCAGGTCCACAGTTTGCATAGACTAAATTTTTGTGTGTGATGTGAGGTCGGAATCCAGTCTGTGTGTTATGTTCCCTTCCTCCCACCACGAATACTTAAAGTTCCAGAACCATTCAGGTTCTTTCCCTTAAGGAGGGCCGTCTTACTGCCCTGAACTGTTTTATCTACCATATACCTTGTGCTTTTCGGCAGTTTTTACTTTAGCGGTCTAGTCCCAGCTCACTATTCCACTGTCTTAGTTAGAAAAGCATTAAAGTAAGTCATCCTACAGTAAGACTACCTCCTGTTTTTTCAACGTCTAGGATATTCCTGGCCCTTAACACTTCCATGTATATTTTAGAAATACTTTGATTGAAATTCAGAAAAACAACTATAAACCATTGTATTATTTTTGAGAGATTTTATTGAATTTATGAGTCAATGTTGAGAAAGTTGACCTATTTTCCTATGTCTATATTTTCTCTCTGTTTATGCCTTTCCTCAGTAATGGGTTCTTGTTTTTTTTCCTGAAAGTCTTGGGAGCGCAAACTACTTCAAAAGCGTCCTTGCTCTTAGGATTTCCTCCTTGATTTTGTGTGAAACCTTTAGTGGCCTTTTGAGAAAGGATCCATGGAAAGCATGTTTTTAGACTTTGCTTGTTGGTGTATCTTCTGTTTATAATGCTGAAAATGGTGTGTAGAATTCTACTTCAAAACAGGGTTTCCTAGAATTTTTAAGAATGAGAATTTTTCTGACTTCGTTCCATTGTCCTTTGGCTTCAGGTGCTGACGTTGAAAATCTGATGCCAGTTTGTTTCCTGATTGTG